ACTAAAAGTAAATACCATGAGACACTTGAAATGAAATTTCATATGTACGTTTGTTGTGTGGTACTGGTTCAACTGATATAGTCTAGATTTTACTTGAAAAGGGCAATTGTTCAAGCTATATTGTTGACCCAATATATAATATCAATTATTTTGCATCAATTTTTTCAAGACTTCATGTACAAAATACCCATATATAGATAGAAAAAAGATGCAAAATTTAGCTTAACAAAAAGCTTGACCAAAGAGTAGTTGTGAATATTAGTTTTGTCGCTAAACGGAGACAATGGACACATGCAAAATCCGAAATTCTTGATAATGCTTTTTATAGCTCCAGTGTACCCTTATGCTTGTAAGTAACTATTTTACTACGGAGATTTATAGATTGAAAGAGATTACTTACTTGTTGTTGGCATACTCATAGAGACGACCACGAGTTGAGAAGACGATGAGCGCGACTTCTGCGTCGCATAGAACTGAAAGCTCATAGGCTTTCTTCAGAAGTCCATTCCTTCTTTTGCAAAAGGTCACTTGCCGATTAGTCGAGTTCTCGATCCTTTTAATCTCTATCTTTCCTCTTCCCATCCTTCATTTTAAAAATATCAAACATGATTATAAGTAAGTGACTGTGTAAAAACATTAAGAATTGCTCAAATTGGGCATTATCGGTAAGATAAATACTCCTATTTAACACACGCACAAATGATTGAGGAAGATATAAAATGATTATATACCAGAAACAAAAAAATGTAAATCTTTTCTTGAAGCTTAACAAAACCCTAAAGATAGGGTTTGAATTAATATACTTTAATCCTTACCAAACTCAATTTATGTGTGTAAAACAAGCAAAAAAAATTCTTTTTTATATCCAACTTTCTTGGGAAAATAAATTAATTAAGGATGTTTTTGATTGATTTCAAGGACAGACAAGAATCAATTGGATCTGATGCGGATCTGATGTACTCTGAAGCTAGAGTTTAAGAATTTGTTCAAATCTTTAACCAC